TGTAAGTCATCCTCCAGTGACAGATCGGACTTGTTCTTATTGGATGTGACCCCGGAACATCATCAGCAGCCAACCCCTGACGCGCTTCCTCTTCTGGAAAGATGCGAGTTCCGAAGAGTCCTTGGCTTTTGGGGTTTGGGTCTGCTAGGTTCACGCAGCGGTTTGTGAGCGTGGCACCTTGTTGGGTTCAGGATCAGTTTAGGTATTTCAACGGTTTGGATACTTTTTTCTTAGAGGGCTACGAATATTCCGACCGTCATCGTTACGTCCAATTGAGATATCTCCTACGTAGTCGATATCTGTCGCCACTGAAGCTTTTCAAAAAGGCCAGGTAGAATAATCATCCTTACCTATCCCCATTCAAGATCCTAGATCCATCTTCAGGAAACAGTCCAATCATATTTCACCATTAAAGGCCACGGTAGCGGGAGCCTGCTGGGTTCCCTTTTTTTTCATCCGCCAAACCGTATCCGAAACGCAGGCCAGTAGTGACCTTCTATATCTGAGGCCCGCTTCAGATTTACTGGTACCTACCTAGCTCAGTACTCCAGGAACTGACAAATACAAGTCTTCCATTTCTTCTTCATTCCTTCAACTACATTCTCTCACTCACTCAAACATTATTCTTCACTTCTCTTCGAATTCTACTTCTTGGCTTTACACAACTTACAACCCCTATCCTTGAAATTCTCCATACTATACGTCACGACAAGACATCTCGAACCCACCCGCATCTGACTTTGACGCTTTTGACGCCTCGTCGCATTCGTTCAACCCCCCTCTACATCCTTCCACGGTACTACCACTCCTTTATACTGTACGCGCCGTAGTCTTGACTCTCCGTTACTCTTGGCCCCTATGACCGCCAGGGCTCGACGACCTCAAAACAAACCCGCCCGGCCGCCCCTGACGATCAAGACAGAAGCAGAGGATGCGAATGGAAAGGGTCACCTCAACGGCAACGGCAAAATGAGCAGCGGAGTAGAGATGCGCCGCAAGGCGGCCAACCCAGACGTCGATAACGTTGCTGCCAACTTCATCAAGAGCGAGTCCTTTTCCCTCGACGATCCGATTCCAAAGACCCCTTCTCTTAACAACCACGGTTTCTTCGATCTTCCTCGACAAGACCAGAGGAACTTTCTCCTCTTGGTGCTTCTATACTTCTTGCAGGGCATCCCCATGGGCTTGGCCACAGGCTCTGTGCCTTTTTTGCTGAAGAACCATATGTCGTACAGTGAAATTGGTATCTTCAGTCTTGCTTCATACCCTTACTCTCTGAAGCTCTTCTGGAGTCCTTTCGTGGACGCTGTTTGGAGTCCCAAGATTGGTCGGCGCAAGACATGGATCGTCCCGATTCAGTTTCTCTCCGGCTTCGGCATGCTCTGGTTGGGATCTCATGTGGAAGACATGATGGCCTCCGCCGGTAAGCCTGGCGGCATGACAGCGTTCTCGTTTATGCTTTGGTGGTTCTTTCTCGTCCTCATGTGCGCCACCCAAGATATCGCTGTGGACGGCTGGGCGCTCACTCTCCTGACGCCTGGAAACGTATCATACGCTTCAACTGCGCAGACTGTTGGTCTCACTGCTGGCCACTTTATGTCATACACTGTTTTCCTCGCCTTCAATGCTGCTGATTTTGCCAACAAGTGGTTCAGGGCAGTTCCTTCAGATGATGGTCTTCTCTCACTAGGGGGATATCTCAAGTTCTGGGGTTGGTCATACATCATTGTCACCGTTGGACTCGGCCTTTTGAAGAAGGAGGACAAGTCGCAGAACGAAGATGGTGTCTGGGATGTCTACCGCATCATGTGGGGTATTCTCAAGCTCAAGAACGTCCAGACCATCATCATTGTTCATCTGATTGCCAAGATTGGCTTCCAGGCTAACGACGGCGTTACAAACTTGAAGCTCCTCGACAAGGGCTTTGGCAAGGACAACATGGCGCTGACGGTTCTCATCGACTTCCCATTCGAGATTGGTCTGGGCTACTATGCCGGAATGTGGTCGCAAAAGTATACACCGATGCGCCTTTGGTGCTGGGGATTTGTGGGCAGACTTGTTGCTGCTCTCTCCGCCCAATTCGTTGTCGCTATTTTCCCTGATGAAGGAGTTACATCATGGTATCTGTTGGTGGTTATCGCTGAACACCTTTTCTCAACATTCACAAACACAATCATGTTTGTCGCTGTCTCTGCTTTCCATGCCCGAGTGTCTGACCCCGTCATTGGCGGCACTTACATGACTCTCCTTGCAACGTAAGTAACACCGGACTCATATGTCGCGGCTACGAAGCTAACAATTTGTAGTGTCTGCAATCTGGGCGGCACATTCCCTAGGTATTTCGTACTCCGGCTCGTTGACAGCTTCACTGTGGCTACGTGCGAGCCTGGCAAGTCAGATGCCACGACAATCAAGGGCACACTTATCAAAGATGCATTCTCATGCGCTGTACAGTCCGAGAAGGAGAGATGTGAGGCTGGTGGCGGAACCTGCCACATGATCCACGACGGATACTATACAGTGAACATATTATGTGTCCTGTTTGGTGCTGCAACTTTCTTCTGGTACATCAAGCCAAAGGTGTTGCATCTCCAGAGTCTACCTCTGCGGGCATGGAGATTAGCACCGGGAAACGAGAACAAGCGATAGATCAAGAGGAGGAAGAAATCTAATGTTAATTTGGCAACATGTACAAGTAGTAAATTGGGAAGCATGCGCTGCAGCGCTTGATACCCGTGGACATATCAGCACAATGTACTTAGATGCTTGCTCATTCACAAGATAGTAGCCCTGATCGGTCAAGTCAAATACACTTTGTTAGTTGTTACCTTGCAGTTCTAATGGGTTAGATCCGCCTATATTAATGGAGAGCTTCAAATGCCGATAAGCCCCAATACATACCAAACGCCACGCAATTTCGATGTATTATGCCCATTTTGCTATGCACATACCTGCCCAACCCAACTCCAAATTCTAAACTCATGATCCCCTGCTCGCTATGTACGTGACCAGTTGCGGAAGAGCAAAAGCACGATGCAAGCATACGAAAAGATAACGAAAATAAATAACACAAACAAGACACTGAAGCACAAACAGTCGAGACATGTACCACCCCATGTCTCCCTGGTGTCTTCCTCGAATGGCCTGTGCTCCTCTGCAGCCGAATAACCGTACCGGTCATTCAAGTACGAACTGCGTCTGTAGGGATGTCGAGCTATAGGTTGCAGCGTATCAAATGGCCTTACGGCATCAACATTTGGTGATCTGGGAGTGGGTGGGAGAAGGGGAATGCGCTCTGTCGGGCGCATATATAGAACGGAACTGTCGCTGTCTGATGAAGACACTGAACTGGACTGAGACGATGATGAGCTGCTTCCATAGGGAGGTTCTTCAAATGGATTTGACATTCCAATGTCTAGCGTTCTAGGAAAGCTTTTTCGAACTCGAGCCGGAGTATGATATTTTGAAGTCGGTGATGAGCTACCCTCAGACGGCAGTATTCCACAGCTTGAAGATAAAAGTGCCCTAGATTCCCGAGAAGGAGGTTCAAGGATATTAACCGAAGGACGCTCAATCTTTGGGACAGGACGCAGGCGAGCCCTCTGTTGTAGGAACTCTTCTCCCCGAGGCTGCTCGCTGTTTCCTATCAGAGCGCCGAACTCTACGTTAATCTCTGCTTGTATCTCTGCAGTGGTAGGACCCGGAGGTGATACAAAAATAACAGGGCTTACGAAGTCGTCGAAGTTGGAGTCTGAACCGAGATCAATGGGCTCAGGCCTGTTGTTGCGAGGACGCTGCGAGAAGAGTAGGGCACGGTATGGCCGGGTGCCTGAACGTAGGGGAAGAGGCTCGTGGTAGTGCTCGCGACCACTGGGATGACTCATACTGGCGATGGAAATACTGAATAGTTTTGAGAGAGTATAGAGAAGAAGTTTTTGGAGGCTTGTTGGAATTCAGATAGGCGTGATAGAGGCAGTGGTCGTGAATGGGAGGCCCACAAGCAAACAAAAACTTCACCCCTGTTGTAGAAGTTGTTGGTGTGAATGAAGCACCAAGATACTTTAGGTTGGCGGGCTGAAGATTCTTATACAACCCCGGTTTCGTGAAGAATGGGAACAGCGGGAGTGTGAGCGGGAGGGTCTTTGAACAAAGGATCTGAACATGAAGAGGGTGTGGTGAATTTGCTTCTTGTTCAATAGATGGGCTACTGCTCTTTGAGGATTAAGTTAAAGGATCAGACATGTCCTAGGAACATGAAACTAGTTCAGCTGTGAAGATGATTTATGCATGAACGTATGGTAGAAATATTGATGTGGTTGATGTTCTTTGATGCAGGGTCGGGTTCACCTGGACAAGTCAGGATGCTAAACTGATGATCATATCCGAGGTCATGAGTCTTTGCCCAGCCCGAAACACTCAAAATTCACTTTCATAGGTTTATGTAGGATTGCAAGGCTAATTCTCACTCTTTGGCTATATAACGCCATAACCTTTCCTACACTTCCTACACTTCCCCCTTTCCTACCACATGTTGCCTAGAAGGACTTTAACCCAACCCAAATTCCTTAAAAAATGAGTGAAGGGTTGATTCGCCAGTCTCCAAAGTCCACCAAGCCAAGCACTCCCAGAAAGTCTAAGTTTACAGAAGTCTTGACGAGTCCATTCCGTCTGAACTTCTCAACCATCCCCTCTCCCAACACCCTCCGAAACCATCACCTTTAGCTTCTAACAAGCCTGATTCCAAATGAACTCTAGACTTAGCTCTTGGGGAGGCACTCCTAGTGCGTCGGGATCTCGTCCTAGTTTGAAGACTGGGAGTATACCTCACAGAATCCATCGATTCGAGAATCGAGAGTTCACGAGTTATGTTTGGCTCCCCTGAGAACTCTAGACTGCCTGATATATCCAAGCCTTGCTCAGCTGATGCTGGTTATTTTAGTCCAGATCTTAGACACCCAGGAGAACAATCACTCCAGCCGGCGCAGAGCTCTGAGCGAAATATGGAAACCCAGGAAGCAGTAAGCCAAAGCCTCAGACAGCTAGTCGAATCGAGGATTACCAGTTCAGCGGGTATGTTCGGTGGCCCTGAAGGCCTACAACTGCTCAGTGTTAGAGAGTTTCGCTCACAGATCGCAGGCTACTTTTCTCGAGACTTCAACGTCCCAGGACCGCAGTTCCCAGAGAAGCCTCATGATCAGTGTGAAAAGATGGACGATGTCAAAGCTCGATATGAAGATCTTTGGATTTAAACCCAGTTGTTTTGGGATCTTATGCTTCGAATACAGCCGAACAGTGTCACTTCTGATGTTGAAGTTCTGAGACCTGCAGTTGACCTCGTGCTTGATGTCGTTGTTGATCGCATGCTTCCCCAGCTTCGACCAGAGTATCACCCAGTTCTCGCAGAAAGCCATCTACAAGCACTCAGTCGCCGTCTTCGTGCTCTGGAACTTCGTCTTCAAACCGATATGGGGACGTGTGGCAAGTTACCCAAGATGCTATGCGGGTGTATAATTCCCATAAAGCGCCCCAACAACAAGGACAAGCTCTGGACACGTCACTTGACTATCAGAAAAGACGAAAAGGGACGCTCTGAGGATCAAGGATTCAAATTTCGAGATTTGGCTGGTCTTCTCCGCCTTGTCAACTTTTCTCTCGCATGTCTACAATGAATTCGAACCTCAACTGAGCCTAGCAAGTCCAGCAGCAGACTGCGGAATTATCCACATAGCTATTGCTCTCATGGACGATGAGATCAAGAGGTTTATCCCCAAGAAGGACTATAACACTGCTGATGAGCTTAAAGCTGAGTGGATTTATGCCCTTTGTCATGGGAACTTTCGCTCCTCTATCGTCCTTGCAGTCATGGGTATCGTCAGTGATGCTGTGGCTTTTAGCAAGAAAGATGGGACTCAAATACATCGGGAGGAATGCGACCTCTGGGCTCCCGAAACGGTACCTGAACCACTCACCACGGCTGCGTGCCTCAGAAAATTGACAACGTTCAGGCTGATCCGAACCGGGGAGTGAGTCCTCTACACCCTTCATACTGGAAACGGAACTCTACGAGTTCGGAGAATACTTCTCTGAGTCAGGACTGTAAAGGTTGAGAGAATTGAATGGCTGTTTTGTGTAATAAGAAACACGGTAGTTGCTGAGGTATGCTTTCCTTGATCAGGTCTAGACATGTATAGGATTGGTGTTTAAGGGGCTTGCCCTTTGGTGCCTGGATAGAACAAATTGACATGAAATTGGGCTTCAAATGTAAACGATTAGGAAATGAATGACAACAAAGACATTGACAACGCCTCCCAATATTCTGCCGCGACCCCATCATGATACCTGTCATAACTCCCATATAGTCGAAGCATCACGCTCAATGCCATATCCCGGACAACGCCTTCCTATTCCCATCTGTGATCCCATCATTACTCATAGTCGAAACATATCGCTCAACTTCTTGTCCCAGTTACCTTCATCGCACAGTTTTCTCATTACATCGGACAAAGCATCGCAGTGCCCTTCGACTTCCTTGTCGTTCATTTGCGCCGTGTCCCAAGAAGCAATAAAATACAGGTTGATTGAATCGATCATAAACGCGTTCCAGAAAAATCCACTATCCAACGTGTTAGTTGTAGGTCCACATTTAGAAAGGCTTGGGCTCACCAGTCAGGCCAGTCATAGCGAGCAATGGGCTCGAGAGAAGTGAAATGGGATTGAGGTCCTTTTGCAAGACTCATGGCTAGGGAAACATCCCAGACGAAAGACTGTCTGAATGATGCATCGACTGCAGCTGGCCCCTCGTCACTGAGGTTTTGAACAACCTTGTTCCAGGGAACATGTTCGTGTTCTTTTGTCTCTTCACTCTCAGCCAACATGCGCTGGAGGAACTCGAGCACAGTCTCGCTACGGGCGACTTCAGTCATGTTCAGCACCCACTGAACGGTAGGGCCGTCAATACTCATTGCTGGCGGAAGAAGCTTGTCCATCCACGTGGGAATGAAAGGCCAAGAGCGTGCGCTCTCCCAGACATTGAGCAGTGCATGGGATGAACCAGTCTGGAGAACATTGAACAGTACTATGGCACTTTTGGTGAACAGTGACGGATGAATGTTGTGCTCATCCTGTAGTTTTGTGAGACCCGACAATGCAAGGGCTCGACCAGAACGTGGGTATTGGAGCTCGTGTGCGCGAGAATCCCATTTGCCATTCCAGACTTTATCACGAACCTGGCGACGCTCTTTTGCAAGTGGCGAGCCTTCGTCGTTTGCAATCAACAGGCCAGAGGCCTTCTGAGGTGGCCACAAGGCGCCGTTGAAGCGAGAGATGCCGCGAAGTTTGCGTGTATGGAATACGATGTTCTTTCGCGCAGGCTCGCTGTCTTCATACTGCGTGAAAAGGTCGGAGAATAATCGAAATGGGGTCAAGGCTGGGATATCGGTGTTGATGTCTTGAATCCAGTGGTCGAGCTCGTGGTACCATTGAGTAATCGAAAGCGCATCAATAACAGAGTGATTGAACGTGAAACTCAGAAACAGCTGACCATCTGACATGGTTCTTACAACATCAGTTTGAAACATAAAAGGCGACGAATGAGCCTGTGAAGAATCATCTCTGAAGATGTTCCACGCATCATCCTCAGAGTCAACCTCGACCTCGTGAACAAGCTGATCAACTAGTGCAGGACTGGTTACAAGAACAGCGTGGAACGGAACACGATTCGAGGCAGGGAACACAATAGTCCTGAGCATCGGTCTCGAGTCCAGCGCCTTTTGAAGAGCGCGCAGAATCTGATGCTGCGCAACGTTGCAGACGCGAAACACCATGCGGTTGTGGTAGGACTGCGGTCGTGACCCAATCGCCGTCCGATGGAGCGAGTGTCTTATCGGTAGCACGTCTTCGATGTCGAAAGGGGAGAAGCCTGCACGTACTACCGCTCGTTTGGCAAAAAAGAACGTGTCCTTCTCTTCGGCAGGGGTACTTGTAAACCCAGAGCTGGAGGTGTAGGTTCGAGCTTGTTGTTTGGACGAGGGCGGATTATACTTGGGGACTTCTGGGGTAATGACAAGGCGAGCTTGTTGTAGCTTTCGAGACAATAGAAGATGCGCTTGCTTCTCGATAGTATCGTTCTCGATGAAGTCTTGCAGGTAGAGTCTTTGGCCACAGATACGAAGAACATGATCACAGTAACGCAGCAAAGTAATGCTGTCGGCGAGATACTTGAAACTCTCCGTTACCGAGGGCCGAGTACCAGTTAGTTGCTCACAGATGCCAAGCAACTTGTCGACGAAGGGTGGTGGCGAAGCTCCGTTGCTGAGTTGAGTCTTGGTTGCGCTGTTCGCTTGTCGATGCTCCAACACTCGCGCCTTGAGCTGTTGTTTCTTGACTTTGCCGAGAGTTGTCAATGGAAGCCTCTCTAGTTGGAGCTCTTGTAGTGTGTAAACGCTGTCGAGGGCATAGCGTTGGTCGGCTTTCCTTGCCTTTTCCATGACTTGCGCTTTAGTCATGTCTTCGGGTAAAACGACGATAGCAACGGGGACTTGACCAGCCAGATCGTCCGGCACTCCGATGACTTGAACCTGTTGGAGAGTTAGTTACAGGGAATGCATGGATTTATGTTCAACCTACCTGCAAGCCATCGAGTTGCTGGAGTTCCCGCTCGATGTTGATAGGGTAAATGTTCTCTCCGCCACGAATAATCAAATCCTTGTATCGGCCAAGGATATACACGACGCCCTTTTCGTCGATCCTGGCTTGGTCTCCAGTGGCTAACCAGTTGCCCGTTTCATCAGTGTACATGGACCCATCAGCACCCCTGTTGAAATATTTCGTAATGACAGATGTCCCGCCAATGTGCAATTCTCCGATCTCCGATCGAGGTAGTATTTCCCGTGTTTCGGGCCGGCAGATCCTCACTGCCGCCCCTGGAAGAACCTTGCCAACACCAGGATGCCAGCCGTCTACCAGATCAGGGTCATATCGCTGCCAGGTGATGATGGGAGCGCCCTCACTCATGCCAAAGACTTGAATGGCCATCTGGGCACCCAAGCCTTCGCGACATAGTCGAATGTCTTCAGCGCCGATGGACGTACCGCCGATGGTGACAATACGAAGATCGAGTTGATCTGCACTGGGAAAGCCGGGATGTGTCATGAGGGCTTTGACGAGGGTGGGTGTGGCTGACATGATGGAACACTGCTCTTGCACAAGGGCCTTGAGAGTGGCATCCACGTTGAAAGACTTGGAGGGAAACACAGCAGTGCCACTCCAGCGCCATGCGCGAAGAGCGTTGTTGATGGCGAAGACGTGCGAGACGGGCGTGTGGATAAGCCATCTCAACGGTCCCATGGCGTTGACTTCGGGGTCAAAGTCGCAGCACTGGGAGATGAGATTGCGGTTCGTGTGCCAACATCCTTTGGGGTCGCCCGTTGTTCCGCTTGTGAAGATGATTAGGGCTGGGTCTTCGTCTTGGTTGTAGTCAACACTATCTGTGATCGTGTGTGCCGAGTCTAGTTGCTCTGTAGGCTTCAGAAGATCAGACAGCTTGAGCCAGCTATCGAGGTCGCTCCCTGCACACAGTATACATATACTGGGCTGTGAAATCTGGGCGTCAGAAAGGTCGAGAGCCTTTGCGCCGTCTGCATCTTGTGCCACCAACACCTGTGGCTTGACGGATAGTATCGTCTTCTTTGCATCTAGAGGAACGGTTGCATCAAGAGGCACAAAAGCCATGCGAATCTTGGCCGCTGCCCAGAAGAAGAGACCCCATTCAGCACAGTTGCCAAGAACGACGGCTAGTCGCATACCCTCTCGACAACCCAACTTTTCCAGGGATTCGGCGAGTCGTTCTGCCTTGTCTTTCAGCTGCGAATAGCTCCATCTTAGATATGGCTCGTTAGTGCCACTGGGTGCTTGGTGTTGGTCGTTTGACAGGTGATTGTGTGGTTGCCAAAGCGAGACAATAGCATCTGCGTCTGGGCTCGAATGGGAAGCACCTTGGAAAAGATCCCAAAGCGTAAGATGCAAGTCGAGAATAGGATGACCAAATACTTCAGAAATAGCAGAGTCGTTGTTTGGGGCGTCGATCGAGTTACCATCGTGTGAGACAATTGGCTCCATAGTGTGGGTGGGCCACGAGGTGAAGTGTAGGTAAGGTAGTATAGGTAGTGTAGTATGGTGTTTAGGTAAAGAAAAAGCAAAGAGTGTGAAGGGGAGGGAAGGGGAAGAGAAGGCAGGAGGAAAAAGAGGCTGAATCAAAAAACGAATATTGAACACGCATGTAAGTGGTACAGAGACCAACCAAAGATGATCAGCATAAAGCAAAGGGCCATGAAGGGAATATTGCAGGGTTAAATACGATCCCTAGAACTTGCCTGCTGGAATCCAAAAAGCAGGCGGACCTCAGAGTGTACAGCATCTACCTATTTTGACACTAACGACCAACACTACTCACTAGGCACCACCAACACTGCACTACAATACTGGCTTGACTCGTTAACCATGTAAGATCATTTGGAAAGAGTTCAATGCAACCTCAACATACAACAAACCACAGCAGAAAATAGAAGGATCCGACAGCTTGGTCCGCCCGAACCCGGCTGACACTGTACACGTCGGAGAGAGCTCATAACAGTAGCACAGATGGCGCTCCCGGTCCAATCACTATCTCGGGTCTACAGCCACTCGCCCTGTGAGCCAACGACGGAACCGCATGTATTATCGTCTGGGAGCACGACATCAGCTCTCCCGGGGTCTTGCTTCTGGTCTGCTTCTGGTCTTGCTGCTGGTGTTGTCTTGTCCATGACCTTTCAGGTTGCAGGATCTTTGAGCACGGGGCGTGGGTGTGTGCGTGCTTCGACAAGTACGAACTCAGACATTATATCTGAGACAATAGCACTAATGCGGACGTTTGAGAAACAGGATGTTCGCCGTAATCTGCCGTAAGGCGGTTCTGCCTTGTTGTCAGCCGGAACATCAATTCTTCATGTTTCCAATCGTTTCAATCTGATATTGACATATCACGAATCCTGACTCTTATCAGACCCAAATCCTGGGGCCCAATTCCTCCATGTTATTTTCCACCTGTATGCGCCCATACCCTTGTGAACCTTCAGTACTGACAAGTGACCTTTAAAGCCTCACTCTTTTCAGGGGAGACCCTTGGAAGAAAACGGTCAACCTCCGAGTGTCCCGTCCCGAGCCGCCTTCGCCTCGCCTAAAAAGATATTTATGACAATGACATACAGTAGTTAAACACGATGGCATCTCCACAAGACAGACTAAAACATTGCGGGTTACTAGCGGCAGCCAAGACAAGATTCAGTCCTCAAACTAAGACATTGATGGGCGAGACATATCAAGACAGAGGATATTACTATTCTGTAACCTCGACTAGTTTCTTCTGTGTGGTCTCTGGTGGTGTGATCCATCTCTTTAACAAGGTAGACATAGAATTAGGCAGGTCTTTATGTCCCAAAAGCCTCAATCTGCATATCAGCATGGATAGTATATACTGTGCCGAGGTATTCGGGCCTAAATCTTCAAGTGTATCTTGACATGGTACAACTTCTGCAAAGCTCCTGTAAATTGTCAATGTCTCATGGCGAGATACATTACGCTGTCTCGCTCTGTGCCGCATCTGAAATCTTGCCTTGCCTAAGTGTGTTCATGCTTAGTGCTCATGCTCATGCACCGCTGTCAGTTCCCGGGTTCCTCTTATACCCCTGACCAAGATAGAACCCGTCATCATTCGTGTCACCAGTGGCGCTGACCTCTCAGGACGGAGAATGCAATATTCTCAGCTGATGATATCAACCGACCAAGGAATTACCAGCACAGCCGGTATGTGGGTTGCTCTCCTGATACAAGCCTGAGTATCCTATCCCCCTTCGATCTACGCCAGGTCCCGATGCTACTTGGAGGATAATGATAGAAAGATAGAGATCCATGATTCGATTTTCTTGCTTTCCGTCGCACTGCAGGTGGTATTGTTAGTGACAGCGACAGCAGACAGCACACGTCTGTATGTTGTGGGGGCAGCGTATACTAGGGATCCTATTCTAAGCCTTGTTCTAAATAGACGGCTTGATTGGAGAGCCAACAGCTCCAATAAACGCTCTCAGAGAGTACATCGTCGTAATGAACAGGCTCCAGGGTTGCTACGAGCTCTGTTTTTAGAATAATGGGATTATATCGTGGCGCCTGGAACTGCACGACGAGGAGCAGCCCAACCAAAACAGTACAATACAATACAATACAATACAATACAATGCTCGGGATGCAATCCGCATGGTCAGCTTCAATAAATGGGGGCGTACGCATTGTATGTCCCTTTTACTTCTTGTGCTCTAGATCTGGGACATTGATCCAAAAGCTCCGGGATAATTTGAGGGCTTTTACTAGGTTCTTTTGCTGTACTTTTACCTCTCGGATCCCCCTTTGGACGTGGCTGCCCAAGCCTCCTTCCACTTCTATCAATCCGACTAGCATTCCCCTGAGACTGTCAACTTCAGCCTCTTTCATCATGTTCAGTCTATTATTGATCAAGTTTCTAGAGCAGCATTTGCTTGCCACTATCGTTCTTCTCTTTCTTCCTGTTCCTCTTCGTATACTTGAGACATATCTTCGAAGATGGAGACTTGCACAAGCTCAAGGCTGTAAAGAAGCTACAAGCAAGGTGGCCGTGAAAGATCCCATTATTGGTTTCGATTTCCTCTATAAGGTCTTCTTTGAGAAATCCCCTGAACGATATCTCGACAGTACCTGGCAAGCCTTCAAGGAGATGGGTACTACTTACATCGAGAAGAGGTGGTCTTGGCAATGCGTCTACACTTGCGATCCACGAAACATCAAACAAATACTTGCCACTGCATATCATGACTTTGAGCTTCCCGAATTTCGAACTTCAGTCATTGGTCATATCTTTGGCCAAGGCATCTTCGTTTTATCAGGCCATCCTTGGAAGCATGCCCGGGCTTTACTGAGACAAAGTTTCAGGAAAGACAATCCCGCTCCCTTTCTAGACACTCTCGAACGAAACTTCCAATCTTTCCTCCAGCATGTCCCTACCGATGGCTCTGAAGTTGATCTCCAGCCTCTTTTCCTGGCTCTTACCATGGATGTCTCTACGGAATTCATCATGGGACACTCGACCAATTTGCTTATCCAAAATGCAGATCACACTCGGGAACAGCAGTTTGTCGATGACTACATGGTTTGCTCCGAAGAGATCATCCAACAAATGCAGCTTGGTCCACTCCACTCCCTCAAATTCAACTTTGCAGCTAAGAGGGCGAAAAAGAGGGTGTACGAGTATCTCGATGCTTTCATTCAAGAGTCCCTGAATAAGTCCGAGGATGGCCCAGGCAGCAGTTTCCTGGCAGAGATGATGGATGTAGTAGATGACAGAACGGGGCTCAGTCATCATATCCTACACATCCTTCTTGCAAGTCGGGACACTACATCATGTCTTCTCGGTAATCTATTCTTCTTCCTGGCCAAGAAGCCTGAGATCTATGCAAAGCTCCGAGACGAGGTTCTAAGTGTTGCTGGTCAAGAGCCCCCTACTGCAAGCCAACTCAAAGACATGACCTACCTAAAATGGTGCGTCAACGAATGTAAGCCCACCCTTCCGCATTTCAGCCCTAAACCGTTTCTCACATCCCAATAGCGTTGAGGCTGCATCCTGTCATCCCCACCAACGCCCGCGTCGCAGTGCGAGACACCACCATCCCCCGGGGCGGCGGCATCGACGGAAAGTCACCGCTCTTCGTCTCCAAAGGAACAGCCATGTTCTACAACGTATACGCCATGCATCGTAACGAAGATGTTTTCGGGCCCAAGGCCGAAGAGTTTGCCCCTGATAGGTGGAAGGATCTGAGACCTGGCTGGGGATATTTGCCCTTCAACGGCGGTGCTCGCGCGTGTATTGGTCGTAAGTCTTGGGAGAATATGGGTTGTACAATGCTAACGTGGGATTATAGAACAGTACGCTCTTCTGGAAACGCATTACGTGGTCGCGAGGATGGCGCAGGCTTATAGTGAACTCCAGTCGAGGGATGATGAGGAGTGGATGGAGTTGTATGCTCTAGCGTTGTGTTCGAAGAACGGCTGCCGAGTGGCAGCCAAGAGGTAAAAATGGTGTTTATGTTTCTGTTTTATTTGTATGTGTTTGATGAATTTTGGGCGAATGTCTGGCAGATAATGGGGGCTGGTTCAGGTTGCTATTGCTATGATGGCGTTATAATATGGTATGAGAACTAAGTAACGGGTCAATGCACTGGCGTAAACGATACGAGATATCAGAGGGGAGTAAATGTTTTATTCTATAGGGGATATCTTTATGGAAATGAGCCTTTCACAAATAAATCCAAAGCTTTTGACTATCTAGATATGGGACCTGGTAGACCCAGCGTCAAACTTCATATAGTATTACTCACCACCTTATCATTCATCTATGATGCCTCTGTCAGCTGCACACGGAGACTGAGTGTTGGCCATTGGAGAGCATTCATAGATGAATTGTTCGGACTTTTGGCCTCGAATAATCCAGAAACACATTCAGCTTGACCAAACCTCGCCATCCTAAAGCAATAAGACAGGACGGATAAGACTCTCCTCGTCTCTTACCTGAAGGACGGTTGCAAAATCTTCCATCCTATCACCCCGTTTCCTTCAATACTCAATCTCCGGCGCAAACATATCATCCCAACAAATCCAATAACCTTAATCTTCATATTAAACCCTCGTGCCATCACCAGCGGGTACCGGAAGCCATTCGACGTCTGCCCATCTGCACAACAATGTGACCGCCCGAAACTACAAAGGCGTGCCCCCAACAAAGAAACACCTGGCACAGTTGTTTCAGCCCATCTCTCCGGGGCACATGTTCTCCGAAAGCCGTCAGTCAGGGGCAATCAAGGTGGGGACTGTGCGACATACTCGGTCGAGGGGAGTGTACAACCACGAGCTGACCGTGGTTACTAAGCCCCGGAGTTCCGAAAAATAGACGTCTTGCAATGGGTGGGGTTTTGATAGGCCTTGTTGGGGCTGAGAAAAGCATTGGGTGCTTATCGACTGCAAAAGGTGCTGTCAAGGGAGTAAGGGGCTGGTAGACATGAACGTCACTTGTCAGTACAAACAGTTTCAAAGGAATCATGTTCTTTTGGAAGCGTACGCCAATACAATGGCAGACTTGTAAATCATAGATCATAGCGCCGTAGATAATCGTCCAGTGCTCAGTCTGCTGAGCCCCATACCAAACATACTCCTGGATCCTAAGCCGCCCCTGTTGGCGTCCACCTTTGTATACCCAGTTGAAGAAGCACAATGAACGCCAGACCCAAATCGTGGAAAACGTCAAAGATGTGTTAAATATCGGAGAACGAGGGCTTCCAGTGGCTTTCCAAACCCCTTGCTGATCAGGGCTTCGAGTTCTTACCTAACCGTGCTGTTGACGAATGCCCCGTCTTCAGACAATCAAAAAGTCCATATGTAGATCCCTCAACGTCTGCACCCAGCTCGTCATCGGCATTCCCTCAGCCTGAACGCTCCATAACATCTGCAGGGCATCTCTCGCTGCATACAAGAACCCCCAAGGTGACTCAAGCATAAGCTTCTTGATCTGAACAGTAACCCAGTCCTTCATCTCTGGTGTCCTGGCACACGCACCAAACACAAACGTAACCCATGTCGTAGCCTTGAAGTTCGTATCGTCGTCGGGAATAATGCTCAGCACTTGATGTAGTTCGGCAAATATCGTGTCTGCGAGATCTTCACCGACCCAAGCTCCCACGGCGGGTATCGCATGGAGGATGTAGAGACAGATGGCGAGGCGATGGGATGTTGCGACTCGAAAACGACTTAACACTGGGTCTTGTTCGGTGGAGGGGATGGTGCTGAGGTCGATATCTTGCGCCCACGGTATAACGTCGAAATTCCTAGCACGGTCTAGTAATGCTGCTCCAGCGGCAGTGACCATGTCAGCCGAGACCACGTCGTCCGGTTTTGTGTTGGAAAGTCGAGCTGCTATTAGCATAATTTCGAGGAGTTCCGGTGGGCAGCAGTAGTAGCTGTTCGTTGTTTTGCCGAGTATCTGTAGCGCTTGACATGATTCAAAATATGAGTGTGATCCCGAATCTGTTGGTCGAAACGTTGACTCCAGAATGTAATATCTGGCAAATGTTAGCAATAGGAGGTGGCGACAGGTATAAAGATCACGCACATGAAGCAGTCAGATACGATGTAGTCCCTCAAGCTCTCATCCACATCAGAAACAGGCCCGAGCAACTTCATGATCTTCCCAGCGCCATCAAAGTGAGCCTTCCAGTTATGTTTACCAGACTCTATCAGCTCTACATTGATCAGGAACAGAATCGCCGCCAGGACAATGTCACCCCCAATAGACTCAATACTCTGCAGCGCAGACGGCAACATGCGTAATACCTGATGCTTAGCCTCGAGAGCATCCATGAGCAGATTTCTCGGGCCAAGACCTCTTTCTAGCGAGTCCGAGGACAGCCACGGGCGAGAGCGGTTGTACATGTGCGTTGCCGAGGCGGCGATGATGACCTGACGTAGCAGAGGGTGGGCCTGAGTAAATTTGAGTAGGTTTCGAAAGGGGTTGTCGGGCACGTCGTAGGCTACAAAATCTCGACTGAGCCGCGCATCAACTGGTTATGCTTGTCAGCCATGTCTCTTGTTTCTCTAACCAATGAAGTCTTGGGAAGCTTACAATAAGCGAGATACTGTCTGTGGTTGCTCGTAATGTCTTGGTACAGAGGATCGACGAGCACCCACGGAGTCGATGTTTCCGATGCCAGGGGATGGTTCTGGTTGTGGATGGTGGCACAGACGAGTTGTGTATCACCACTCGCTAGGGGGGTCGCAGCATCATCTTCATCATCGTTCTCATCGTCAACGTTGTTAACGATGTCATTGAACAGGTCTATTTCCGATCCAGACTCGGCTTCTGACGTTTCTGTAACTTCCTCGACTTGAGAAAGGCTCGGAGCAATAAAGGCGGGTGAAGATGAAGGAACGGATGGCGAAGCGACGGATGAGGCGGAGGAAGAAGATGCAGGTGAGTTTGAAGAGAGGGAAGAAACAGAAGATAACGACGCTCTTGAGCGGGCAGTAGAAGGACGTGCCGGGGAGTACAAGGCAGCGCTGGACTGCTGACCAGCCAGTCTTCCCCTTGAAGCAACAGCACCCGTCCACTGAAAGATCTGAGAATAGCCCAGGCACTCAACGCCTTTTGCGTCGCACTTTGCGCAGTGGGGGAGTTGACGATCACAGCGAAGTCTTCGACGTCGACAGTTATGACAAGGCTTGTCGGCAACAGGTCCAGAAGGTACTTTTTTCCCCTTCTTTTTACTTCCTGGAGCCATGGGGTACTCCGCGTATATACGTAGGGAAAAAGAAAGTCAGTCAGTCAACAGTGCAGGTAGGAATGAAAGGCCAGGACAAGGGTTCAGCCGATCAACGTATAAGAGTGAGGCAGACTTCCGCTTCTGGGAGTGCGGCGTAGAAGCAAGAGCCACAATTACAGATCGAGATTAAATCGAATGATGATTGCAGGCAATTGCGTTCTGTAGTAGGCAATATTTGGAAAGAATATCTTATTGTACAGTCTAAGTTTCTAGTTGTTGCTGAACGATCCTCGCGTCTCACCTGTGGCCGGACCCGGGCGGGGATTGGGGACTAGACCGGATATGGCAGTTATTTTGCAACTTTTCGACCATCTCCCCAACTCGTCAGACACCATCTTTGACACTACCGCATGCCGGTAGTCTCATAAGATCTAGAATACTACCTGATAATCTAGAAAAACAGATAAGAAAAGATCTAGTCATGGCCTGATAGGGCGGAAGTTGCCTTTTTCAATGGATCGTTCCGACTGCTCGGAAATAACTGCCGCTTGATGACCAACTGCAACGAACCAGTGACAGAGACTATTTATTCCCGGATAACCTCACGTAAAAGTTTCATTGGATTTTGCCTGTTGAGTCATTCGGTTCGGCGAACTTGCAATGAAAACAGGTTACGCAGGCTCTCGCGGTAAAGGGGTATACAGTTGCCCGATAACAACTGCTGAAATCCTTTCCTCTATTCTGACAATGACCAAAGGTTCGTTTTCACACGTAAGTTGATGCCATGTCGAGAGGGGACGGAACTGGATCAAATGTAACGTTGGAGTGAAAACTCGCGCTTTTCGACATACCCCTATTCCGATGCGCAGCTCGGTGCTTGGCAATTCTCGTTCGATTTTTTCGGTCTTGTAGTGTCATCTCAATGGTATCAACGACTAGTGTGTAGGGCTTGGGGATTAAAGGATGCTTGGTTCACTCGGTTCGTCGTGTGCGGCTTTCGAATCTCTTCTGTGTCTCGGATCATACGACGGGGGAAGTTTTGCGAGGTTAGGTGGCTCCTGAACATGATGCTGGGCTATTAGCAGAGAAGAAGGTAAGAAGGGCATCATTGAGTTGCACACGAGTATCGCCTCCATCGTCAGGTTTCGAAAGGAACGAGCCGAGACGAACACATCTTTTGGGGCTGTTCACAATTTCCCAAAGAATTTCAACTGTGTTCACCAATAGTGAAAATGGTTGTTCGTCATATCGTGATTTGAACAAGTAGCTGCGTTGTTGTGCCGTTCAGTCCGAAAATATTGTGCAGTGTCAATGCAATGGGCCAGAATTATTTTCCCGCGCAATGATGCAGCATAGGTAGACACTCGCCAATACCAAAGCAACCATCCTTCCAAAATTATTGCCCCTCCAAACCTGTAATATGCCAACACCAAAATACACAGTCCAGTCAATTTTAAAGGCCCAGCACGACTGGGCGTCAACAACTGAGGGTAGTGCCCTTTCATGTTCTCCCCACGCTACCACTACAGAGTACGTCACAGCAAACCTCGCAGTCCCAGTTGACGCTCATTTTGGTAATCACATAGTGCTTTACATTGCAGTGGTGGCAAGAACTAAGTGCAAGCACCGCTGTCTATTGCGAGGCCAGGAACTCTGTAACCGCTCGACCACTCCCCGCCCAGGACCTGCCCGAAATCCAGTAGGTCAATAGCCTCAGACCCGACTGTAAGAGCACAAGAACGAACCGAAGACCCTCCGTACCTTCTATTGCGTCAAGGACTAACTGGCGCCCATGAGACATGGCACCTGACCCCTGAAATATCCCACAAAGTCATGCTGATCAAGGTAGCAGCGCTCCAAACGAATTGAGACAGCTTCTTGCTCTCCATCAGCAAACCCGAAGCGTCAAGACACGCTACTATCTTCCCTTCCGCGACTATAAACCCCCTCCCCCCCTTGTTTTCCTCAACGCCCCTTTTTCATCATCGTCTTCCTCTCGCATGAGCATCACGAAGCATGAAGCCCTTCAGCATCTCCGATCAGCTTGTGGTTCAGATTTCAGCCTCATGAAGTGGTTCAAGCTATTCAAAGCAGTTCCCCCTGGTTCCGTATTCATACGATCGAAGTACGCAGGAGATCCGACCCTCCAGCCAATCTCCAGACGATGCTACTCAGTTCTCCTCGAATTGCAGCCTCAGCCAACAAGAATTCACGCAAACAAAGCTCCTCAAATGTTTTGTGTCGTCTGAACTCAAATTGAGCTCTCAATGGTAAGACTCACTGATCCTGAGTCTGTCCGCCAAGTCCAGCTGGCTGTAGCTGTGATACCAGGGAGCTGGCGGAACCATTTCTTGGCTCTGTAACTTCCATGAGCCAAAGTAAACGCAAAAATCATGCATTGTGACCGCCATCGTGGTAGCGTCGGCCAGGATCTTCTAGCTGTAGTCCCCCCAACCAAAACGCCGGCACCAAGATCCCAGGACTCCGAGCACATATGATCGACTTGAAGGTTGGCCTAGACCTTGACAGCTAAGACTTCTAGATGCCATTGAAGTTTGCCGCCAGCAAAGCTAACGATAGGAATGACTACAGGAAGTGACCAGACGTACTAGCCTTGCTTTCCGCCGCTAACGCTCAAGTTTGACTACGGTACCGCCCTTCGACCGCACTCCCACCCAATTGCCCTTGAAAACACACCCTTTCTTGGATATAGAGAGCTATACCATCTCGAAATTCCGAGTTGTTGTCATTGACGTTGAGCTTGCTACTTGTCCCTCATCACTCATCGTCCCGTAAGCGCTGCCCACGAACTCCTGAATTCACGAACCGCGGCGAGCGGGCCTACAAAGCCTCGAGGCAAGCTTGAGACGTCTTATATACTCAAGTCGACTCAAGATTCTCCAGTTGCTGCCCAAGCGCTCGGCCGCCACCTGCAAAGTTGCTGTAAGTATGCACCAGAGCCCCTGAAGCACCCAACTTCGGCGGTCATACTGGGAGTTGCAGGACGCAAGACCAGCGCTCCATACAACCATCAGTCTAGTCAGTATCTTTCAAACAGCATACATGTGCTCGACCGCTACCCCCTTGAAAGGCCGCTCCAGTTCCTTGGATCTCCAACCCATGGTTAGCTATCTGGCAAACCCTGAATGACCGCAGATCTACCAGCGTCTCAACTCGATCGTGTCCACCAGTGGTTGCGTGTAGATTCACCAGGTTCATCAAGCAAGACCTTTCAAAGACACCCCAGAAGCTACAGAACCCTGACTAACCAAGCGACAGGGCCCAAGACAAACTCGGGCCACAGGCACCCCAAACCGACCTTGCTCCACGATTGCCACCCAAATGCTCGTAAACCAATACGTCTTTAAGCTCCAAGATCTACTCCTAATAATAGCCTCGAGGCTGGTCGAGTCACAGGACGTCAAGCTCGAAACCCTAATCGACCTAGTCAACTTAAACTTTACGAACTGTTGCACGGGGCTGCCAAAACAACGAATCACCACGACGCGAGTCTCCCAATCTGGCATGAACAACAATAGAAGCTTATGCTACCGTTGCGAAACCTTATCGTTCTTGGAAACACCATAACATCGATATACTTCGCACTTACAACACGGAAGGGGCTTACAAGACAAAATCGCCACGACGGTGGAAACCATTGGTTATGAGGGACAAGGAAGGTTCAGTACGTGATAACTTTGATCTTCAAGCTGCATGCGCTTAGTTTGAGAGTCAATATGTTTGCATCCTGTGGAAAGTCTATAGATGACACTCCTGACTCACTGATGAGCATGTCTTGCGTACCACCACTGGCCAAGTCTTCAGTCTCTGCATTAATTGAGCTTTGATGAGGACTGCGATCGCGATTCTTGAGTTATCCACCGTAGCACTATGAGTCACATCAGGAGGTACAGAGGCCGGCACACTACAGCAAAGTGTCTTTGTTGCCAGCATGGAATACCAGCGAACAGAAGCACTACGCTGTCACAGCCATCATGATCAAGTAGAAGCAGAACAGTCACAAACAAGTAGGCACTTCAAGTGAATAAATGCGATGTTCTGTGTATTAACATCGATGCCCTTCATTGCATTTCTCATGTCCTGATGAATATTCCGTAAATCGTAATTCGTAATGGGTAGTCGTACCAGTGCCGTAGCAACCAAAACTACTGGTAACGTTGTTTCCCCTGAGATAAAACCACAAATAAACATATAGCAACTCCAAAATAACCATTAATGTGCGATCCCGTACCGATCCCTTCATGTCATTAAAATCCATGGGTCTATCATAAAACGCCTATGGTATACAGTACGAAGTCCATCGACGTACTCCCTGATCGATATGCTCCAAAATGTTCATTCTCAACAGATCTCTGCGAGTGGGGTCCCTGGAAGGAATAAGCATGAAAAGAGAGGCAACAGACACGATGAGACTTACTCCAAGCTGGATATCTTCCAGCGAACAAATTTTCTAGTGGGCTCTAGGCCATAGATAAACTGGCGTCTGTGTCGATATCTTCAAGCAGAAGAGAGCCCTTAGGCAAGGGTTGGTCCCCAATGGGGTTCGTTTCCATTAGAAACGAATAGGGCCTCGGCGCTGTAGCGCTTGAGTTTCTCGAGACCATCCTCCATCTGGCGGCCACGTTGGGCCACCTTGAATGCGAACCACTTCTCTCGGAGGTCCATATTGTACCGGAGGGCGATTGCGGCATGCTTGAAAGGCTTGGATATGCCAGCATCCTGTATCGCAGCGTACTCACGCTGCTTCTTCACACGAAGACCCTCCTCTCTGTCAAAATAATACCGTTTGACGATGACGTTCATGGACTCAACGATGTAGGTGGCGGTAGCAATGGTGGATCTGACTTGTCCGTGGTTAAGAATCCTGTCTCTCCCCATGACCCCGAAACGCTCGCGGCTTTCTTTCATTTTAGCAACAATTTCCTCGACATCTCTCTCCATACGAATACGGCTGTTGTATTTTGTCGGTACAATCACAGCCTGTTGGGGATGTTCGAGATCAAAACGAAGATAGTCGTTCGTTTCGAACATCTCCACGGTCAAGGGGTGGCGGTGGCTCATGTACAAGGTACGAACCATCTTGAAGGTAAGAAGATGTAATATATGAAGTAGAAGTGTAGGATAGAAACAAAAGACTCTGTCGAGCAAAGAGATTTGAAAATGATAGGGTTTGGTCTGTTCTTGTGTATGTTTGTTATTGCGTGAGGAGTGAGCAGGTGAGGTGGGAGAAGCAGTGGAAGAAGAAGGGGGAAAAGATGCTGAAGAGGATTCAAGAACTGTGACCTTTATAGACGAAGAATATAGAGTTTAGCAGAGCTTGACTAGATATAAAACCATGAAAGGGGATACTCACGAACTCTCGCGATGTGGTCACGAAGGCAGAGTGTGCTGTTTGGAAGTAATTTTGAAGTGGAGAGGGGTAAATTTCTCTGGACTTGTTTCCAGGCATCCGCCGCCCTGCAGATGGCATAACTTGTATTGCTCGAACCATGGTAATGATTTTGCCTGGCAGTGCAGGTGCTTCAGCAGCGCTATGCTTGTGTGCCGAGTAGGGCAACTGGCGTCTGCCACAAAGAGGGAACTCGAACAAAAAGGCCGATAATGGTGAAGTAGATATTCAGTCTCTTGTCTGATCAGGGCCAGATGAGTATAGTGCAGGCAAATGAAGAAGATATCTTGATATGTTCCTGCGTGCAGCCAAGAGTGACCCTCCCTTTTATACCCCAGGACTCAACGCCCAACCCCACGATCTACAATATCCTTGCACCACTTGTGGCACTATATGAATACTAGATAGGTAGCCAATATTTATATAACATGATTGAGTGTAAAGCATGATTGGCGATGCAGGAAGCTGACATGGTATGTTTCTGATATATCAGGTCATGCAGCTCTTGGCACGATCCATCCCAAATTCTGCCGGCTTAAAGGGCCCTCATGTGGATCGAAGCATCCTAAGATCAGTAAATCACGTTGCATAGTTTATGATCTTTAGGATGAGTCTTAGGTAAATTATTAAAATCTTTGAGCAGGTGGTGGCGGCCCGGCCAAGCGATTGTGGCTCTGATGCCGCTTGGAGGGGCTCCTCGATTTGGTGACGCCTAGCAACACCAACAGAGCCGCAACTGGGGCACAAGAAGCCCACTCGAGCACATCAGAGAATCCCGCTTGAGTGCAAAATGCAACCGAATTCGAGGCATCAAAGGAAATTCCATCACAGGAAACCTCTGGCTTTTTCATTTTTTGAGTGAAAAATACCACAACTTTTTGACTCGGCCACACATCAGGTAACCTCTCCCTCTGCTCTCTTCATCTACTTCTTTGTTAGAGACTTGGATGATATCCTCTTATCTCCTCCTCAACTTTTCTACCCTTTTCTTTTCACTCGTAAAATGCTTCGCCGCCTTTAGGATTCTCGATCCATCAACAGGTCGCATTGAATCACTCATGCCCTCCTGGCTTTAAGGTATAAATTCCGCCATTCTATCCTTTCTCTTCTTCTTCCTTTCCTTCTCACAACATCATCAATCATACATACTCTCATGGGCCAGAACTTCAGTAGCAACAAGCTCACACTACTTCATCCAAGCCTGACATCTTCCAGTCACCTATCCAACACCAACATCACCATGACCGTGTCTCCTAGATCAGAGTCAGTCACTGACAATGCGACTGATCATGTCGAGACACCCCCTGCAAAGAAAGCCAAGTACAGAAATCCAGGGATCCCCAAAGATGACACCAAGGCTATTCGTGAGAGACAGGAAGCCGCCATCGCTGAAATTCATCCCGACACCAAGAACCATCCCGTCCTGTATAGAGGCGTCGTTCAGCAGATTGAGAAGAACAATCTTCGAAAGGGTTGGGCAAATACTCAGCTCTATAGTACCTTCCAGCACTGGAGCAGAGTCTCTGCCTTGAGTGCTCGACCTGAGCTGGAGTGGTTACTTGCTGTACTGGCAGTGCATGCATCCTTCGAGCCAATTAATCTCAAGTTCATGGACGAGGTTAAAAGGCGCGGCCTTAAGGAATGGGCAGAGGAACAGCTCAAGAAACAAGATCCCCTTTCTTCAACTCCCATTCCAGCTGAGCCAAAGACACCTCAGCAAGCTCCTCGAATCAAGACTGAGCCTGGAAGCGTTTCTCAAAGATTGCAAGAGGCTCCTGGAGGAGCAAGGCCTGGGCAGGGAAACAGTAACGTTTTTCCATCGATTGAGACTGGTATCGGCGGTACCCTGAAACGAACTGCTCCCGTAGACCCAGCTCAGCCTGCGAACAAACGAGCAAACATGCATGTGGACCAGGCATATGTCACCGCTGAGATCAACAGACTCGCAGAACTTCACGCCTCACAGCAACGAACCGTCCTCCGAGACCAAGGAACGCAGACAGACAGCGAAATTCCTCTCCAGACGATCCTTGCATCAATGGAAGAAGCTATGGGAGCCATGAAAGAACAGTCCGAGGGGCTCAAGGAACAAGTTCGGCTGCTTCAAGAACACAACATGTCACTCCTGGAACACGATCGAGCGCTTGCCGACGTCTCCGGAAGAGTTCGTGGTGTCAATCAGCTCAGACACGCCAGCAACATTCACCATCAGCAGATCCAACCTCAGGCTGCTGAGATCGTTCCGCTGCAGCCGATGAATCGTCAACCGCCCACATACTACTACGAATTCCCTCGCGAGTCCAGCAACAATGGGCAGATCTTTAGATTTGGATAGGTTGATCAATACGAGACGAGGGAGGAAGGGGATTCATCAAGAATGGAGTTGGGGTATGGGAAAACTTAACAGGATGGGAAGAACACTTGCTTTTGGAGTTTAAGGCCTCAGATTCCGATGGATGATGGATGAAATTGGAGTTTTGGGTTCAAGGTATGGAAGCGGGTCAGGATGCATTGGCAGCACCGACATGGAGAGTGCGAGCCACAATAGCCACTCTATATTAAGCCATAGAAAGTACTTTACAACGTCTAAAATAATTGCTTCGTATTGAGTTAAGCGACATTGCTTCACTTGCATTTGACCTGTTCTTTACTGGTAGTCTTGATAATGTTTCGTCAGATTTTCGGGTCAATTGGATATTCTAGCAATAGCCTCGCCGGACACTCGGAGACGAAATCAACCATTGACATGTCAATCAGCCTCCACGTGTAAGACGGAACCACCATGAATAAACTTTTACATAAAGCAGTGAAATGCCTCTTTAGCCGCTTTCCTAACTTTACCGAGCTCCCCATGACCCGTTGAGACCAAAGCGCAGCCGCAACCGCATCAGCCAGGCTACTTTGTCAAATGCTCGACGATGACAGGCGAGAGATATCGAATCTCGCAAAGCTTTACCCCATACTGTTTCATAATAGCCTCTGGGGGTGTGTGGGCTTTCGATCCCCGGTGGCGCATGCCCTTGCGCGCGCGCGGGGGGGCCTAGGACCTATGTAGGGGACCCTACCAATGCAACATGCAACCGTCGACCCGATTCGTGCTGCGCGACTCTAGGGACTGCATATTACCGACAGGAATGCGTCATCCCGTTTGCCGCTAACAAGAGGCCAAGGAGGCTTTTTTGAGGTCGAGAATCTTTGGGCATCGAGAGGCGAAAATCTGGGGTCGTAGCATGTAGCATCCATCCGTAGGACTCTGGCTGTCAGATCGGCAAGTGAGTTTGGACTTGTGATTCTGCCACGGCAGATGAATGGTGACAATAGTTTCCTACCCCGCAAATTGAACGGCTGGAAAGGGTGTGATCAGCTTTTGATCTTTGATGATCTTGTCAGCTAAGAATGACCAAGTACGAGGCGCAGTTCTGAGTTCATCATCACCAATTTTGTAAGTTTCGTCGGATGCAATGGATTGTTCCCCGTGAGTCAACCATACAATACTGTACATACTATTACATGTGCGTGCGGATGAGATGGGAACAATCAGCTGTTAAGAAAAGCCGAGATCTTACAAGACTCCGTAGGAACAGAACAGCCGACTTTGGGGGTTGTCTCGTTAGCCTCATCTGGAGATGATGAACGGGGGTTGTGAGTGGACGGATGTTCTGCTCTCTGTCTGTACTTTACTTTTCTTTAGTGGCCCGTGAACGTGGAGTGAACAAGAAAGTGACGAGGGACCGGCCCAGCCCAGTTGATTCGAAGGATGTGACTGGCTGGCTGGATGGCATGGATTAGCCTTTTCAAGGGCATTGGTTGGATTAGACATTCTCGTCACACTGCCTCGTTACTATTTGGCTCGTTCCGTGACTCTTTTCTTTTCTCTCCATCTCAAAAACCGAGCTAGTCACCTTAAAACTCCCATCGTCATTGCACGATGACGTAGCATGCGTGATCCCACCCAAGCATCAACATGGGAGTTGCCTTAGCTTGTGACGCCAGGGTCCTGAGTTTAATTAGTCTAAGCCGCAATTCAAAACCAAGGCAAATTCACGGTCGAGAAATTGATTCACAATCGCAAAAATTAAAGGACAGAAAATACCAAGTAAGAGACAGAAAATAAGCATGAATGTAAGTCGGTCTCGGTAATTAAACAGAGATATCGATATCAAAATCGTACTGTAAAAAGTATATGTCTTCGCTTCCACTCACCAACCAGTAAAAACCTCAGCTGAGATCACCCACCCTCTCTTCGGTACGGCACATGCAGAGTTCCCCTCACCACAGACGCTTGTGTCACCAAGAGCGGAGACGTCCAAGCCAAGGGATCCTTGAACCTTGAAATCTAAGGGTTGCCTAGCGCGAAGCGTGTAAGTCAGGACACCACTCACCACCACCACCACACAAGGGAAAAAAAACTGCCCACTCTTTTGCTCTGGCTCTGGCTGAGGCTCTAGGCTCGGGGATAAACATTGACCTGCATTGGAAACGAGTGAATGTGGACTCTACCCGTCTTAGAAGATGCCGAAACCAACCCATTCCAACTCCAGAGTAATTTCACCCCCATTCTTTTGGACTGGACGTTGACTTCCGATCAACATATCCGAGCACTCTGAGGGTGTCCCCTTCCGTTGGGTTGCTTTACTCTGCCTTGTCTGGCCTCGCCTCTTTCTCTCTTCCTCTCTCCTCCTCAACTATTTATATCCCTCGTCTTCCCCCCATTTCCAAGCTGGCCTACCTCCCTCTTCTTCATCAACAATCACCAGACTATACCATCCCAGGACTACTTCAACTTCTACAACACCACTCCAACGCCTCAACACCACAAAACCCCATCACCAACCAACATCACCAACATGCCTGCCTACGAGTACTGCTGCCAGTGTGGAGGCATGATTGTCATCAGCACCACCTGCACCGCTTGCGGACACAAGCAATGCAACAACTGCCCTCTGTGCTAAAGCGTTCACCCACAGACGCGTCTCGACGGCATTCTCCTTCTCTTCTCTCACAACACACGCCTGGACCTCTATCATGACAAAGGGCTACAGCATGGCGAGATGAGAGTCTGGATACCCTCGCTCATACGAGACACGACTTTTTGACGACTTCAACGACGGCGCTTCTATTCTGCCCGGAATCTGCCTCTTCTCCATTCACACCTATGACCTGGTCGTCACATTCACCATTTCACTTGTTCTTGATTGATACCTCAGCGACTGGTTCTTCAAGCAATTATCCTCTTTCTCCAACAGCAAAAGCTTTGCTTTCAGCCTCTTTAGGGGTGTTTATGCGAAGGCGCCACGGGAAAGATATGACGTCGGGTTTTGGGCGTTCTATTACTCTATGCTTTTACGTTTTGGGACTTGTCTCGGGGTTAACGGGGAATGAATCGCAACGGATTTTCAGCTGTAACAATAATCGATACCCGCGGTCTCTTTTGGGCGACTTGACTTTTGAGAATCAGAGACAAGAATCAATACCAAGTTTTATCAACCCACTTTCGGCTTCTTTTCGCCCCGGCGCTTAATCCAGTGATTTGAATTGATGAGTCCATCGTGAAATGAAACGCTCCAATCATGAATGCAGATTGCCAATTCTTGGTTTACTTGCCACTGCTGAACCCTCCATTGGACCCTTGTTTCAGAAAAAACTAACCCCAAATTCTGGGCCATGTCCCGGACTCGCCCGATCTACAACTTGAGCAGTCCTCCCGAAATTTCCCTTCGTTACATAATATAGTAAACCTCACGTCGGCCCTTCTCTCTGGTTTGGAAATGCAATGCCCACAAGTTGGAACCACATTGCCACGTCGCACCGACAATAATCGCAGAAAACAACAACAACAACAGCCTTGATTGTGAGTAAAAATGGAGGCTGATAGCCTCACCTTGCCCCGTCAGATCAGCCGTGTACCAGTGGCTGCTTGGGAGACACAAAAGTTGCAGGCCGGGGTGCTTGCCTACCCTAGAAGCAATACATAAAATTGGAATATTGCACAATTTAAAATAAAGCTTGATTTTATGATGTTGTGAGACTGTTCTATCGTAGCTGTGATACTACAGCTTATGATGTCCTACAGTCTGACCTCCTGTCTTTTGAACAAGTCTCGATAGTGACCTGTTATTTACAAGCCGCCGAGCTGCTCATGTGCGAGTTCGCTAGAATCGCGGGGGGTCTCATGCGTATTGGACATGTCAACATGAACACCTAGGTAACCATCATTATTTATCTCATCTACAATGATTGACTTCAGGCCTGGTGCCTATTCCCATTCCTTGACTATGGCCATCCTTTGAAATGGTGAAAACTCTCCATGGGTCAACGTTTTATAAACTGACGTAGTATCCTCACTACGCCTTTTGGCCGTCGGCTTCCAATCCTATACGTACAAAACCAAACACCTCCCCAGCCTTGTTGAATGCATGCCCGCTTGTTCCGTTCCATTCTGCTTCCTGACATATCATTTCCTTCCACACCCTGCCTGACGCCAGCTATTCGAATCAAGGACCTGCTCGATCTCTTGCTAGCCGGGCCAATTTGCGCCTGATACTAGATTCCAACCATCCATCCGTCAATGACCGGAGTATCCCCAAAAGAAAACATACAAGGAGTGACAAATCGTTCACCCCACAAATACACACGAATGTTGGGGTCCTATCATCGAAGACTCTGCTCGATGATTCAGGACGCTGAGATTAAGTTTATGAAATGAAAAGGGCCGTGAGGTATCTTGGTCATGAGTCTCATGCTGTCGGCAAAAGGCGAATTAAGAGAATCGAAAGAAATATAAAGAAAACAGTCATCGTTTGCACTGCTAAATCATCCCGTCGGGAACTGCATTGCTGCTCATGCTAGGAGGCAGAGGTGGTGCTGCCATAGGCGGAGGAGGAGCTTGATGCATTGATCTTGCTCGTGCGTTCATACCGTTTGCCTCGCTAGTGGCTTTGCGCAATCTCTGGCGGTTCATCCCTGCGCCATCTTCATCATCACTTCGAAAGCCACCACGTTGATCGTTCGCAATACTAGGGCTCATAGGGCGGCGATGAGCGCTCATGGTGCCTTCAGCGAGCGTGGCTCCTGTGTTCTTGCGTCGAGGGTTGATTGGTGGCAAAGGAGGAGCAGTCATGTTGCTATGCAGGTTAGGCGTAGAGACTGCACCACTATTGAGTCCAGGTCCAGGTCCAGGTCGGAGGCCGTCCCGGTGACCCATGGGCGACACTGGCGGCTTGATTGAAGGTTCCGACATATCTCGGTTGCGCATCATTCCACCCGGATAAGGAGGTCCATACGGTCTCTGGGGGCCGGGGCCAGGTCCAGGGAATCCATGGGGAGAAGGTGCGCCATGAGGCGAGGGGGCACCATTAAGTGGCGAGATTGGTGACGGGTGACCAGAATCGTGCCCATAGACAGGATGTATATGCAAGCTGTTGTCGGGACGGTTGAAGGGACCGGGCGAAGCGTTTCCGGGATATGGTTGAGGCGGCATACGTGGTGACCGTCGCATGTCTTGTCCGGGCATTATTGGTGCTCTCATCATCGGCCCTTGTCGAGGCTTGCCATTGCCTCCCACCGGAGATCCCATGGGCCCTTGGTAATCATCGCGAGGCACGGATCCGTTTCTAAGGCGTGGCGGTCGGCTACCAGATCTGCCTCCACTGCTAGCTTCAGAGCCACTTCGATCACGTTCAGAGGGAGCTCGGGATCCTGAGCGGGAGCCAGCGCGTGAGCCAGCATTGGCCCTCGATTCTTCGCTAGGGACTCGATTGTATGAGACAGGAGGAGGTGGTCTACGTTCCTGAGATGGTGGTCGGGATGTCGTAGTTTGGGCTCGATCTCTGCCTGCTGAAGGAGGCTTCGAGGGTCCTTGGCGTCGTTGCTGAACTTCGAGTTCCTTCATCCTTTGGAGTTCCCGACGGGCTTGTCGGAAAGCCTTGAGGCCAGCATGGACACCCTCCTTTTCCTCGCTATCTCTTGGCAGGTTTTCGTCCCTTGGCTCAGGCGACTGCGTTAGCCTCTCATTCGCCTCGAATGAGCCACGGCGGGATGGACTTGCGGCAGGGGCAGGCGACGAGCCTCGGAGGCCAAGGAGCTTCTTCGCTTTGGACTGACTGCCATTCTCTCTGTCACCTCGACCTCTGTCAACCAAAGAGCCACGACTGGACTTGGATTTCAAGATGCCCAAAGCGTTCGGACGAGGTGGAGGTGGAAGCTCAGACAGAGGCGGAGGTTCTGGTGACGAAATGCTGCTATCAGCTTCGACAAAAGAAGTGAGCCTCTCCCTGACACGTCGCGCACCGTCGGCAAGATGACGGGCAAAGTCATCTGTCTCCTCTTCTGGCTGGGGGTTGATTTGTTGTTTCGGGTTTTGGGTGGATTCGGGTCTAGACAATATCTGGGCCTCCATCAAACCAGACGATCTAGTAGGACTAGTCACGCTACCGTCAATTGACATAGCCAAGTCTCTCTCAATCGACTCCCAGGCGTTTGAATCGACCGTCTTGGGCTCATAGGTGTGTGCATCAGGGCGTTCGGGAGGGAATCGTGAGCTCAGGTCAACATCGTTGGGTAAGCTTCCATAGATTGAGGAGGCCCCGCTGTCTTGTCGAAGATGCTGCCTGACCATGCCGCTCAGTCCACCAGAGGTAGGTCCCAAAGTAGGCGAGTCCTTAGGCAATTGCTCTGTTGAGTTAGCTGGCGCAACTCCAGTTCCTTCAGAAACCACTAGAGGCGTTGGTACTGTAGTGCGTCTGAAGGCAGGGTGCTCATTATCAGCTGGCTTCTCAACCTTAACTTGAAGAGGAAAGATAGGTTGAAGGTGTGACTCGTCCACGATAGACTGGTCATCATCGTCATCAAAAAAGGTTGAATGTTGTGACTCTTCCTGGACGGTTGGCTCAGTCTGGAAAGACCCAGATTCGTTCCTTTCCATTTGCGGACGGTGGGCAGAAGACGACCTAGATCGAGTGCCTGGCAGTGAGGGGTTGGAATCAGTGCGGAATCGGTTCGTGGGAGTTTCGCGACCCTGCTGCATTTGCATTTGCCGTTGGGCGAACCTTGATTCATCATATTGACTGTTGGTCCTGCTGATAATTCTGCTTCGATCAAAGGGCTGAGCCTCCCCTGTCTCACTAATGGGGGGGCTGAGAGGGGGTGTAGCACCGAAGGCCTTCTGGTCCATGCTGGGAAATTTGTTCATCGAGTCTACAGGACTCATTTGCGATGGAGGGCTGAAAGATCGTAGGTTAGGGGCACTAGCCTTAGCCAGGACCGATCGAGTGATGAAACGATCACCAAATGTTGCGCTTGCTGGGGAAGGAACAGGAGGTGTCAGATCTGGAGTTCTGCTGCCGAGTGTTCGCTTTGTAAGCGTATCGATTCTTGAGAGAGCAGATGACTGTTGGTCTTGGAGATCCTGGTTCAAGCTTTGCTCATAGAGACGACGGGTTCTGGTCACGCTTCGCTCCATTGGTGGTGTTGGGCTAACAGTCCGAGATGTGCGCACGAAGGACTCCCGGTCCTTGACTGAAGATGAGGTGATAGATGTGGCGGCTGTTGAGTCCCGAGCTGCAGATGGACCAGACGATGTTGTTGAGTTTGTCTCCCTTTTTCGGTTGTACTCGGTTTGAGAAGGAGACTCTGGTCGAGCATTTTCTAAGTCACCTAAATCTTCTTGCTGCAGGTCTTCAAATGACTGCTTATCCTTTTCAGATTGCCTCCACTTCTGGAAAGCTGACTGGGCGACATCGTCGCCATAGAGAACACGGCCACTCATAGCCCCTTTGTTCCCTCCGGTGCCGATTTTGTAAACCTTTTGTCGACCTCCAAACAAGTTGTTTCCTTCAATTGGTTTCGACCGGCCCATCATACTCCCGTTTGTTGAACCGGTATCATCATTAGACTGCATCGATGAGCGTGCAAAGGGGGCCCGAATAGACTCGACCTCGGCAATGTCGCCCAACCCTGCAGCAAAACCAAAGTCCATCATTCTCGATTGTCTTTTAGGGAACAGAACACTATCGTCACTAGCTTTGCCAACCTTGGTGTTTGGGTCATCTTGCTCGCGCAACATAGAGAATCGTGCCGAAAGGTTGGTCATCAGAAGACTTGTTCGAAAATCATCAGTCGATGGAAGGGCTGTAGCGAGATCAATCTCCTTTTTAGGTTCCTCTTCCTGTGCCTTTTTCTTGCCAAACATTCTAAAGGGGCTAGAAGACTCAGACTCAATCGATGGCCGCGGAGCCTCGTGATCATCCTTGCCCTTCTTCTTGCCTCTGAACCTATTCATAATGAAAGACAAATCCCGAGGATGAACCGTTATTTTTTGCCTCGGTTGTTTGGTGTCGTTGGAGATGTAGGCGTTTAATTCATCACAACTGATGAAGGTGATATAGGTCGAACTAGATTGGCAACTATACCAACCTTGCTTCAAACACTATGCTGGTTAGCTTCGCTATTGTTGATCGGTATGCAAGATTGGTTGGAGTTCATGAAGCAGATATCTGGCCCGGTCGCTGCTCGAACTTCATCACCATGTATGGGTAAATATGCATGGCCGCTTCGATGAACAATGAGGGCAGATGTTTCCCCATGCAATAACCAACCAATCGCTTGCAACAGGAAATAAGTTTCGTACCTGCAGATGTCAAATTGACGAAAACCGTAGTGGCAGAATATGTGTGCCAGCCTCTGGTGATGTGAGAGACCAATATCGATTCGGGCTAAGTGGCTCGGTAGTCACACAGGGTACGCGAGGCAAGATTGTTCGTACTCGATGTATTCGCGGGTCAGGGTTGTCGTCGTCGGGGTCGTCGTCGTTCAAGAGCCTCGTGGAGCAATCTGGATGTAGTATGGCAAGTTTGTAGGCCGAAAGCGGGCGACAGCAGATGAGTTCTTCTTGTAAGAGGGAAGAGGAAAACGCAGGTGCCCGAGTTAGGTTAAACAAGAACGGGTCGGATGTTGAGTCCAGAAATGGAAACGATTCAGGCAAGTTTGATGGATAAAGGAGGTTGTCTCAGACTCGGGGAGAGAATGAACAAAGCAAAACAACCGAGATTTCTGCTAGAAGCTTGAGCGAGTGGTGAGTCGAATAGGCCTTGTTTGGTTTGGTCTGACTGTGGTCTGCGGATCTCAAGGGAGAGTGCTGTCACAGGGTGCGAGTCGATCGTGTCGGAGCAGGATTGTCAAATGGTTACTTGCTGGCCGGCAGTTTGATTTGATCTCATCAATCCGGGGTACCACTGGATCGGTACAAGACTCGTGATCCCGACAGGTACCAAGGCGTGTCAAAGGGCAACGGTCAATGGGAGTAAGGTAATGAACGGATGGGAAAAGAATGAATGAAGTTTAACAAACGAGAGGACGGGAAAGAAAACCGTTTAGGGACGAGGCGTGTCTGAGCCAATGGAACCAACAAATTCTCGAGATTTTGAGTAGGACGAGAAATTTGGTGATAACGATGAAGGGGGAATTAGATTGACAGGGCGCCCCAGAGCAAAAGACGAAGGAAGGAATGGATGAGAGGTGGGGTGTGCCAGGAACAGGGGAAAGGAGGGTGTGGGGACAGGGGGCCTAGTCGTAAAGGGGAATGGTAGCGGGAAAGCCAACAGGCAGGTACCATTTTGCTAGGTCAGTCGGACTTGCTGCATCATAAATTAATGGTATTGCACTATCACGGACGGAAGATTAGGTATTCGAGGAGATGGAATAGCGAGCTGAGGCATTTCTCGTGAACTACTTAGATATGGCCCAGATGCCAGAGCTTAACACCGTTAAAGTATCATACAGATTTAGCTTTGTAGCTCTGAATGAAACGATGGCTCATGGTTGACAAGGATGGTACATGGGAGCGATCATAAAACAGGTGGTTAAGCGTTCGCTGCAAAGTACCTTCGTCAGCGCGAGTACGTTGCAGAACATGGGACGAACAGTCCATTTCTCCTTGAGTTGGTACCAGCTGCACAGGGGACGGAACATCCATCTCACCTCCAAGGACAGGCCAGGGCAAGGTTTAGGGGGTGTGATTAGCAGATCGCAGGGGTGGGAGTCCACCGTTCGAGATGGTGCGGCAAGGGAGACAGGCACGAACAGCCCTGGGCTCACTTCAGTTAACTGCGAAGTTTCTGTCTGTTCGCTGAAAGTCCTGGAGTCTGCCCAAATTTCAGTGGACTATTTGGCCTTTAGTGCAGTCCAACATAGCCCGAGGAGGGACACTCGCTCCATTGGCCCTCCACTAATGGATGATTTTCAACATGGAACCCGACCCGATAGATCGTGGACCAACCTCACACACCTTCACGGCCCTAGCACTGGAATTCTTCAAGTGTTTGTTAAAACAGATCAGTCGTCAGCGTCATCTTGACTTCATACGAACCAAAACTTCTCTTAGTATACAATCACGATCGGAGATGAATCCCCTTTTCTACGCGCCAGTCATCGGAACGCGTGCAGAGGGACGGCAACAAGAGGCTCGCGGTTGAGGACCTCAATCAACCTTGCTGTCATTGTGATCAATGTGATACTCTTCTGCATCTTGTATCTCCTGTTCGTGAGTACAAGATACTACACATGTCCGACGCAACAATTTGACAACCGAATCCCAGGTCAGTCAGACGTCCGCCACAAACCATGCCGTGTCGCACATAAAGATCCATGGCTTTGGTTACCTTGCTTTTACTGCCCAGCTCTGTAGACTCTGCCCACGTTTGCTGGGCCACGCATGACGGGCGACCGCTTTACTTGCTGCAGACTGCAAACGCCTGGTCTCTCCCGTCTTACATACCCGTCCGCCACCACCACCTTCGTCTTGGTATTTGGACGCCTCAAGGGATCGGAGTAGCAGCCGATGCCCTATCTCGAATGTCCCGAAATACGTATTCATTCAGCTTGCTGTTGAGGTGGAAATGATATGTTACAGATGCTGTGACGTTGATACGAAACCAGGTTCCGTCGCAAATGTTTCCAGTGCAACCTATCATGCTTCAAAGGAGGATACAAAACCATCCATTGGCTTTATCATCCGACCCTTCAAAAATCAACAGGGTACGAGACAGTGGCTACAGTGCTAAGAAGCAATGTCATCAGTCCCCTCTTTGTCGCTCGTCAGTCTCATACTTGGCTTAAGGGGTCAGCGCCTTGGAGCCTGAGACCTTCTCCACTCGAGCAAGAACCATCACCCGTTGCAGAAGCTACTGCAAGGGACGCGTTTTGGTCACATTGTCGTCTCGTGCCATCCGTTCCCTAGTACAGCGACGGCTAAACGTCTGGGTCTCCGTTATCAAGTATCTAAACTCTCTTGGAGTTCAAGAACGAACGGTGGAAACTCAAAAGTCCAAAACAGAAAAGGCGCTCCCTTGTGAAGACGAATGGAGATTGGACGGATCGCAGCCGTTGTCCATCGCCCGCTAGGCTAAACTCTGACTTGTGTTGAATACCGTTGGGGCTTGCAGCCACATCCTGCAGCCATAGTTGCAAGAATTGGGCAATGCTTATCGCAATAACCCCATTTGGAGGATGCTCACCTATTTACTTTTTCCATCGTATTAGCATCCAGGTCTAACGGTGTCAAATCGGATGTTGGTTACAGCGTTGCAGAGCAGGCATTTTCAGTTACTAACCCGTTAGCACTTAGTTATGGGGTAGGTACCCGTACCTAACTCGCAAGATCCTCCACCGCCCTCACCAGCCAATGACCAGACCTTGGATGAGAGCCCCTGCAGTTGTCCCATTCAAGTCTCAAAGTCAACACTGGTAACAGAGCCAATACTGATGAAATCATTCAAATAACGTTGAACAGACCCTAATATCATACAGTACTTGACCTCACAAAACCACCAAGAAACTCGCCACTAACGGAGGAGACTCCCTAGTTAAAAGCGCCATCCTCGGAACCCGATCGACCCGTCCCACAACCCAACTCTGCCTATGCTATTGCATTGGCTTACAACGTATGTTGCTACTTTGCTAGTCCTTGCTCGCTTTAAGCTCAACTCTCCGTTCGACGAATCAGGGCTTATCGTTGTCGGTTTACTGCCTCCTACTCCGGACATACTCGACTAATGCTTGGATCGTCAGTCACGACTTTTCCTCGACCACAGCCCGTCCGGGTTTGTTTTGCGAGAAGAACGGAATAGTGCGACCCCTTTGTGCCTGGTTATACATGTCTGAGGAGTAAAATGGCATCTGACCCCCATTTCTTTTACAAAACCTAATTCTACAAATGCAGTCAGCTCAATCCTGCCACTTCCTCTGCGAAAGAATGGTTTAATGGTCAGAAGATCAACATAGTAACAAGATGAAGGTGCTCCACTCATGGCTTCATACAATTCCCGAGATTCCATCTTACTCAGCAGACAGAAGCCGCACCGATCATGTGGCGGAGGTAGCTCTCAACGATTTCCCACCTTCTTGAAGTCTCATACGCCTCTGAGGTCATTGCTGCCCTCGTTATACATATTGAAAAAGGAGTTGCCTGGGCGTGGTAGCTTGAAGAGGCCTACCGTTGCTTAAACCTTGGGCAAGGTCTCTGAATAAATTGTTCTTTCTTTGTCAAACACCAACAAAATTGGTGTGAGTACATGCTTCCTATGGCAGTCTCGATGAAAGTGTACTATAACGGCTATTCTATGATCCTTACTTGAAAGCCAACTGCCATTATTTAGGCGGCGCTCCTCTGCGGCGAGCGCTCGCTGACTCCGATATGTCAGGCTCAGACGTACCCCTATCAGCTCCCTTGGTTGGCGGCAACGGTGGGAGCGTTCCGCGAGCCAATAACAGATCTGTGCCTGGAGCTAAATCCAATCTTGGCCGCAACGTTCAAGGGAACAAAAGGTGGGCTGCCAGGCACTTCTGTCCTGGTGGATGCTACGCACATGGGTTTTACCTTAGGTTGGAAAGGTGACATCGTGCAAATCGGATCTACCTTCTTCAAACTTGCTGGAAACTGCTGAGACGCGGAAAATATTCTCCCCATATCATCAAAAGCAGCCACCAGCTCGACCTCCTTCTTCGCATGATCGATGTTTCTCTTGGTACGGAAATGGTCCTCAATTTGCACCACATGAAATGCGGTTACGCTAATGGTCCTTAATTATTGGTTCATGAGAGTTGCTCGGCGCTAGTCCTGGACATCGCTACGCTATCCGAATCCAACAAGTCCATAATATCATATTCTGCCCTCAGTAAAAAGGATCAGATTTTAATATCATATCGAAGAACAAGTGCCCTCGGTTGTATGAGCAACAGCTCGGCTCAGCTTTGGCGATCCCAATTGGATGGTCTTTGGCTCTTCGTCTGTTGATCACAACTCTGAGGAGAATAGACCTGGCACCCCGGTTTCTCACCCAACTCGCTGGGACCGCCTAACGGCTCGCCTCGCCAACAACCGACATGATGACATTCGGTGTTCAAGCCCTATCAGTTCAGGCGCTTTGTCCAGCCTCGTCAACTGCTACCATGTTCCCATGCTTCTTCAGAAGCTTCCAAGGCGATTTGATTACAGATCAATCTTCACAACCCCGGTTAGTTATTGGATACTGTTTACGGTGGTGACGGTGAATTTATTTACCTCCGGGATGTATAAAACCGGTGCAATGGTTAAGGAACAGCCCTGGAACTTGAACGCAATGTTATGTGATAACTACCCACCGAGATCCTGGTCTCTTTTTGAAGGAAACCACAAGGCGTTGTTTATCCAGTTATCCAATACGGAGTACAGTGTATAGAATTATTATACCAGCTCATTTCCTCCCGAAATGGGCTCAAGTGACTATTTGCTGAGGATCCTCCGCCACACCGCAAGCCATACATTGCTAGAGCCACATACTCAGGCTCAAGGAACACAGTGCCCTCTGTAAAGTTGGTTTAACTTTGCGGTTTTCCTCCGATACCTCAATTTCTCGGAGAGGGTCCCTCGGTCCTTTGCGTCATCTTGAGTGTTTTCTCTCTGTTCAATTCGTCTTGACCCTGGGATCCCACGTCTTTGCTCCTTGCCCTTGCACGCGCTAATATTACCAGGCAGGTATAATCTCCGCACTACAGCAAACAACCATCGTGATGTGCCTAGTTCGATTCACAGCTAGAGGCGAAATAGGGTTATGAAATCATGAATTCTTATCCTCATTTCAGCAATACCCGCTCCCTTACCAAGCAAGCTTGCCATGCAGAATCTACTGAACGGTCCACTCCTGCCTAGGCTCGGATCTAGCTTAATGAATCCGCCAAACTCTGAAGAAGCCGCCCGCTCCGTTTAATTTCTCGGGTCCAGTTCGCGGGGTGAATTGATTATGAACAAACTCACAATCATGATTGATGGACGACATGTCAAGCGAGCCAAGATGAGTCCAGCTCTCGGGCCGACGCACTGTTATCTATCATCATTTGGAGAGAAGCACAGGTCTTTCCGCTGGCGCAATGAGTGAGCGTTCTACAGCTATTGAAAATCCAACATATTGGAGGCCAGAACGATGCTGTCTGTATGATTGGGATCGCTCCAAGAACGAAAACCTCATAACACTTCCATTAATTGGTATTCCAGCCTTCAGGGGCAATCTCATGCTCCTGATTTGTCAAGCTATTCGATGCCGAGGCATGGCTATATCTTGAATATTGGAGCCAACATGGTCGTTTTCGACTATTGTTGCAATTTGCAAAATGAACTTGGACAGATTGCACGGCGAACCCAACAATGGTCGAGGTATGCCCAAGAACTAACAGTACGCCGCAGAACGAGTCGTACGTGACTGATTAGTGATGAATGTTCAGGAACGAGTACGAAAGTGGTGTTCTTCACCCCCCATTCCTCGGCTCATCCCTTAAGAAACCATCAGATGAAAGTTCACTCTCGGCATGTAGACTCAGCATTAGTGATTAGATTCAACTGGAGTTTTCTTTCCCTTGTAGGTACCTTTGGCGAAGTCAACGTGGTCTGATTCTCACATGGACCGTTAAACAAATCACCTCAGAGGCGGCAAAGGCGAACAAGATGTTCCGAAGATCTAACCGCTCTGGACAATCAACTCACCTTTGGCGATGTTCCAATACTGCGTTCACTAGGTGTTATTTCGGCGTGAATATATCAGAACAAAGTCATCTAACTCGTCATCTCGTCCCCGGGTCAGACTACAAATTGCATGTGGAAGACTCGACAATACTACAGTGGAAACAGTTGATCTTGTCTGGGTGCTGAAGCATGTCTCCCCTCTCCCC